TTAGTTCCGCTCTTCCCACTTTTTTCTATTTTCCTGGGGCATGCCATTCTCAGTGTGGTCCGCTGATTTCCAGCAACGCAGAGAAAGCACGAGCCAGGCAGGAGTAAGCCAACCCCGCTCGCCCGCAGTCTTTGTGAACTGCACGATAAAAAGATAACGCAGACGTCCTGTTTTCTTCCTGGGCCTCCTGGCCTGCTCTAGGATCTCCCCAGCCAGGAATCCTCCCATGCGTGTAGGGGTTGATGCCTGGCACTTGGAGGGTGGGGGGTTTAGAACGGGTCTCAGTGCCCTGTTGAAGGGTGAGTCTTACCTTGGCTTTCAGATGTAAATTCCAGGATCGCTAGCTTGTTGGCTTTGTAACCTGGCACTTGCCTGTGTGAGTCTGTTGTTTCTAGGAAGTCTGCTGTAAACTGGAGGGTTTTCTAAGTATAGGACTTTGTCCTTGATGAATAGTGACAGTTTGACTTGTCTAATCTGAATGCCCTTGACGTCTCTTCCTTGCTTTCTTCCTACGGCCAGGACATCTACTACTATCCTAACACACAGAAGTGCTGAGAAAGGGCAGCCCATCTCATGCCCGATCTTAGAGGCTGGAAACCCTGGCTGGAAACCCTGCCAGGGACAGTATTTGAAGTCACAGGGACTAAAATAAAAAGAAAAATTGTACTATCAAGGCTCACATTGCTTTCAGTTTATCAGAATACAGGATCATTCTTTGTGGTGTACATTATTATTTTTCTTCCTTTTTTTTTTTTTTTTTTTTTTGCTTTTGGATCACACCTGGAGATGCTCAGGGGTTACTCCTGGCTCTGCACTCAGGAATCTCTGCTGGCGGTGCACGGGAGACCATATGGGGTGCTGGAAATGGAACCCGGTTTGGCCACGTGCAAGACAAACGCCCTACCCGCTGTGCTATCACTCCAGCCCCATGTTATTTCCATAATGGATTCAGATGGCTAGTCTAATAACCCCACATAGCCACCGACTGCTGATGTAAGAATTGGAGAAGACCTGTTAGTGGTGCTTGTTTCGTAGGGAGCGCAGTTGTGTGTGTGTGTATATATATATGTGTGTGTGTGTGTGTATATTTTTTTTTTTGGTTTTGGGCCACACACAGTGGTGCTCAGGGCTGACTCCTTGTTCTGCTCTCAGGGATCACTCCTGTCAGGGCATGGGGGATCAGAAGTGATGCTGGAATCAAACCCAGGTCAGCTGCATGCCGGGCAAGTGCTCTCCCCGCGATATCATGGCTCTAGCCTAGCAGTTATATTCACTGTGTGGTCTCCATGGAAATATGCAGGATTGCAATCCTGAATAGGAATCTGGATGTTTGTCAACCTCAGTCGTTAAGAGTTGAATTAGGGGCCGGAGAGATAGTATAGTGGACAGGGAGTTTGCCTTGTACACGGCCAAACGGGGTTCGATCCCCAGCATCCCATGGGGTCCCCCGAGCACCGCCAGGAATAATTCCTGAGTGCAGAGCCAGGAGTAACCCCCGAGCATCAGCAGGTGTGACCCAAGAAAAGCAAAAAAGAAAAAGAAATGAAAAGTTGAATTAGACTCAGCTCATTCTCAGGAGACAGGCAAGAGCGTTGAGTCGGCACCGGACTGTGTCTCTGGGTGCTAAGACAAAGGGTCTCTGGGCTGCTCCTGCACCCTCTAAGATCTGGGATTCCGGAAGATGCCAGCAACACCCAGAGCATGCTTACTTGCAGCGAGTGTGATTCTTTTTGGTTTGGTTTGTTTTGAGGTCACGGTCTCAGGACTTCCTCCTTGCTCTGTGCTCAGGAATCACTCCTGGCCAGGCTCAGGGATGACAGGACCTGGGGTGCCGAGGATGGAACCTGGGCTGGCCTCATGAAAGGCCAGTGCCCTCCCGGCTTCACCAACGCTGCAGCCCCAGACTATGGTTCTCACGGCCAGTGCCTCCCTGGGCCTTCCTGTCTCGCCCGAGCACGGCTGAGGAGACTCTGCGTCACGGCCCAGTGGCCCCTCCGCCCACTGGCCTTTCCGTCCACTCTTCCCTATTGTCTTAGGCTACAGGTTCTTCCCCTGGTCCCGAGCTGCCCTTCCTTCCTGTTTTCCTGGGCTCCTCACTCCTAGGCTTCTTCCTTTCTTTGCCTCAAGGGACCTTCCTTCTGGAGCCCGGGTGACTCCCAGGAGAACAAAAGCTCCTTTCTCCCCTCCAGGATGGGACATTGTGAAGCAAATGGCATCGCTGTCAGTTTGTCTCACAATTGCTCAAGTCTTAGGCCCTAGAAAAACAGGCATTTAGAACAAAATCTCTTGCTCGGATGCGCTGGGGAAAGAGTCTGTGAAGGGTGAAGGGCAGCGGGCCCCGGGCTGGATGACCCGGGACGGAAACTGATCAGAGCCAACCAGGAAAAATGGACTTTCCAAACGCCAGTCCGGAACTTGGGTTCAAAGTTAATGGAAAATTTTAGGGTCAGAAGACAGCGCAGCAGGGGTGCAGGGCCTGGGGGTTACAGGACCCCCCAGGTGGTCTCCTCCCCAACATCCTGCTGCCGTGCTGACTGTCACCCAGTAACAGAGACCCCAGGTCACAGCGGGAAGTACCTGGCCCCTGGGGGCTCCAGACACCCAAAGGATGGCCCCAGGCTGGAATGGATACTCTGGGCATACCGGTTCCTGTCTCCTCTCTCTCCCTCGACCCCATCCCCTACTCCTACTCTCCTGGTAGCCCTGCAGTCCCCCCACACCCCGTCCTGGCCATGACTTTGAGGCTCCTCCTGAAGCTCCCCAGTTCGACCCCTGAGCCCAAGACCAGCGTGGGGCGGCTCATTCATTGTGTTGGTGTCTGCAGTGTTGGCGTCCCTGACCCAGCTAAAGGCCCGGCCACGCTCTCGGGGTCTCGTGGAATTGGCACAGCAGCCCTCTCAGTGGGCAGGTGGGCCCTCCTTAGCCAAGATGAGGGTGGGCTTCTGAAAACGTCCAAGAGTCCCATGAGTTAGACAAAGTTATTTTCTTTTACTTTCTCTCTTATTTTTTGCCGCAGTCAACAGTGCTCAGAGGCTACTCCTGGCTCTGTGCTCGGGGTCACTCCCGACAGTGCTGGGGTTGAGCAGCGCAGGGTGTTACACCCAGGCCTCTTGCGTGCAAAGCCAGAGCTCCCAGCCACCTCCCCAGCCTGAGCTGATCTACTCTTTCCCCCAGTGGTGTTTGGGGGCCCAAGTCCTTCATTTTTGCCTCTGGTTCCCTCACCAACTAGCTGGGTGGCATGTCACTGCCCACCTGCCCCCAGGGAGGTCATCTATCTACTGGACACAGTAAGGTCCCCTGCTGCCCACAGGACACCTCTGAGAGCTACACACAGATTTGGGGTTGAATCTGCAGGAACAAGAACTGTCATTCAGGGGCTGGAGCGATAGCACAGCGGGTAGGGGGTTTGCCCTGCACACAGCCGACCCAGGTTCAATTCCCAGCATCCCATAGGGTCCCCTGAGCACCACCAGGAATGATTCCTGAGTGCAGAGCCAGGAGTGACCCCTGAGCATTACCAGGTGTGACCCAAAAAGAAAAAAAAATGAACTGTCATTCAATCCCGTCAAAGTGGCAAGTCTGGGGGCTGGACCATAGCACAGCGGGAAAACGCGGGCCTGGCATGAAGCCGACCTGAGTCTGATCCCCGGCACCCCATAGCGTCCCCCGAGCCCTGCTAGGAGTGATCTCTGAGTACAGAGCCAAGAGCAAGCCCTGAACACCTCCGGGTGTGGGCCCAAACCAAATCAATCAATAGATCAATCAGACGGGGAGGCTGAGGCACAGAATGTCAGGATAGCTCAGCCAAGGCCATGTAGCGTGGGTGGCAGGGCAGAGGTCTGGCCATGCTGTCCCCTGGCCGTCCCGCATCTCCTGGGGGAGAGGGAGCAGCGGCAGGCAGGCAGGGGCCGGGAGGACCGTGCCCAGCCCTGCTCTCCCAGGCAGAGTGACCCTTGGTGTGTGGCCTAGTGGCCAAGCCTCGGCAGGAACCCAGCCTGCCTGTGGCCTCATTCCTGAAGGACTAGGGCTATGCTGGCCCATCAGTGGTATCGGCTCAAAAGCATCTACCTTCGGTTTCTAGGACTGCCTACGCAGGGTGTGTCGGGTCTGTGGGGGCAGGGACCTGGCCCTTTGCAGCTGTGGGGACAAATTCTCCGTGGAGGTGTGCCCCCAAGATTGGGGGGTCAGGGGTCAGCGGGTGGCTTAGGGGAGAGTAAGAACATCAGGGCTGGAGAGATAGCACAGTAGGTAGGGTGTTTGCCTTGCACGCAGCTGACCCAGGTTTGATTCCCAGCATCCCATATGGCCCCCTGAACACCACTAGGAGTAACTCCTGAGTGCAGAGCCAGGAGTAACCCCTGTGCATTGCTGGGTGTGAATCCCCCCAAGAAAAAGAACATGGACTCCCAGGTTGGGGCGTTAGTATAGCAGGGAGGGCACTGGCCTTGCACACAGCCGACCGGGGGTTCGATCCCTGGCATCCCATATGGTCGCCTAAGTATCACCAGGGGTAATTCCTGCGTGCAGAGTCAGGAGTAAGCTCCGAGCACCACCAGGAGTGACCCCTGAGCCCCACTTAGTGTGGCCCTAAACCATAGCAGATGATGTGGACCCCCAGGACTTCTCTCCCTGAGGCGGGGGGCTTGCACCACATGCCTGGCAGTGGGGGGAGGGGGTGGCAGGTAGCTGGGGATGGGCAGGACTCTGGCTGGCCAGCACGCGAGCCGAGGAAGCACCTTTGTTTGCAGATGGCTCCGTCCTACTCCCCCACCTTGGCTTCCCGCCGCTGTGGTCACCTCTGGCACAGGCCGGGGCACCCGACTCCCCCAGCCACGGCCCGCGGGAGGTGATGATGACGCGGGAGGGGGGCGCATCAGCAGTCAAGCGGAGCAGGAGTGGGCATTTGTGGGGACGTGTCATCGTGTCAATGGGCGGATCAGCCGCCAGCCCCGGTAAATTGTTATTTACAGCTCCGGAGCTTTTTAAAGAAGCGCTTCCCGCTTCGGCTGAGTCCAGTCCTGCGGCGCCATGAACACACTGGTGGCCTTGTTGTCGCTGTTCCTCCTGGAGGTGCGTGCCCAGCACGGGGCCGGATGGACCTACTCAGGTGAGCCCCGCGGGGCAGGGGCGCCCCTTCCTGCCGTCACCGCTGGTGCTCAGGGTCCTGGAGCTCCATCACCGGGTGTTCAAGTGTTCTTTCTTTCTTTCATTTTATTTTTTTGGATTTTGGGGTCACACCCAGCGATGCTCAGGGGTCCCTCCTGGCTCTGCACTCAGGAATCACTCCTGGTGGTGCTCGGGACCCTATGGCATGCAGGGATGGAACCCAGATTGGCCGTGTGCAAGGCAAACGCCCTCCCAGCTGGACGATTGCTCCAGGCCCGTGTTCTAGTTTTCTGAGTGCATGGAGAGCACCCAAACGTGCCCCTTAAAGGAGAAGAGGCTGTGGTGTCCCCCAACCCCGCCACCAGGGACTGCTGCTTCATCATAGGTTTTGGCTTTAACTCCCTGCCTGTAGATTGCTGCAGGGAGTGTCAGAGCCCGGATTTGCACAGGTGGAAGGTGAAATGGTGGAGCTGATCTTTAGGGTCTTCCTGGGACACAGGGCACCTGCCGGGGTTTGCTGCTGCAAAGCACTGAAACTCCCCCCCAAGAGCCACCGCTCTGGCCCAGGCCCCATGCACTGGCCTCCAGGAGACCCAAACGGGCACTGCCCCCAGCCCACTCGGCCCACCAGAGCCATTGAATGCAGGTGCTGACCCCATCATGATGGAAGACAGGACGGCCGATTCCATGGGGGTGGACTCGGACCCCGTCCCCGTGCAGGGCAAGAAGGCCTGCTGCATCCTGCTTGTCCCAGGCTCCAGGGCGTGGTGCAGGGGCCCTGGTGCCAGAGTTGGGTGGTTGCGGTCAAGCCTGCTCTATCCAGGGCGTCAGCCTCAGCCAGGGGAGCCCCCTTCAGGCAAAGGCCATGTCAAGGAAGTCAGGGACATGGGACCGGCCGTGCAGGGAGAATGAACAGTCCAGCCATGTGGGTTTCTGTCCCATCCAGTTAGGCAGCTGCTGAGCCTGTAGACTTTCTGGAAAGCTGGCACAGCACAGCAATGTGTCTTTTGGGGACACTTGGGTCACACCTGGTGATGCTCATGGCCTCCTCCTGGCTCTAAACTCAGGAACCCCTCCTGGGGGTGCTCAGGGTACCATATGGGTTTTGCCGGGGATCAAACCTGGGTCGGCGGCATGATAGGAAAGCGCCCTCCCCACTGGACTACCTCTGACCCCTCTTCTGGGGACACTTGAGTCCCCCCCTACTGGGAGGGGCTCCAGCCTCTGAGTCCCCAGAGGGGCCAAGCTGGTGGCGTCTGGTCTGGGTTCCCGATGGGCGGGGGGTGGCTCAGAGGCACAGCAGGTAGGGGCACCTGGGAGGGGTCTCGGCTGCCGCAGTGCCAACCAGAACTCTCTCCTGTCCCAGAGGGGTCCCTGGATGAGGCGCACTGGGCCAGGGAGTACCCCGACTGCGGGGGCAGGAAGCAGTCACCCATCAACCTGCAGAGGAAGAAAGTGCGGTACAACCCCAACCTGCAGCCCCTGAAGCTGACTGGCTATGGGGCCCAGGAGGGACCGTTTTCCATGACCAACAACGGCCACACAGGTAAGGTGCTGGCGGGGGCACCCTATGCTCTGGCTCCCCCAAGTGCGAGGGAGCCCGGCACGGGGGATGCACTCAGGAGGGCCGTGAGCGTGGCACCCGGTCAGGTCCGCAGCAGGCAGAGACGGTCAGGTTTGAGCCTTTGTCAGCTTTCAGGCCCCGTGGCTCCCTCTGGCCACTGCCAGCCGTGCAGGGGCAGCGCGGGCCGGGGTCGGGGTCTTGGCGGAAGGAGGACCGTTCAGCTGTGCCGTTCAGGGGGAATGAACTGCTAATCGAGAGCAGTGACCACCAGGAGACGGGGCTGGCGCCTTTGCCCGAGGCTTGTCCACCCTGGCGGCAGAAGCAGGCTCAGGGAGTGGCCCTGGTCCTGGGGGCCTCCACAGAGAGGGATGGGGGGACGCCCCCAAACTTGGATGCTCTGTGTGAACTCAGGGCGCCCCGTTCCTTAGTCCCGGCTGTCTCTCCCGAGTGCACTGACCTGAGCGGCCGGCAGGGGGCGCCCATTGCCCTGTGCGCTGGTCAGCGCTCCTGCCGCCTTGAGTCTGATGCGCTCAGAGCACTCAGGAGGGAGGCCCAGGGCCCCTCCGAGTCCCCCAGGGCCAGCGAAAGCGGCTGATAAGATTTTTTTCCCTCCTATTAAAGGGGCAAGGGACAGGCGTCTTGGAGACCCCCCCCCCACTTTGGAAGTCTGCGCTGGGCACGGCCTCCTTCTGATTCCCCAAGTGGGTCACCTCCTTAGGCGTCAGGAGAAAAAAGGCTTCATCATTTTATTTATTTATTTATTTATTTGCATTTTGAGGCACACCCAGCAATGCTCAGGGGTTACTCCTGGCTTTGCACTCAGGAATTACTTCTGGCAGTGCTTGGGGTACCATATGGGATACCAGGGATCGAACCCGGGTCGACGGCGTACAAGGCAAACACCCTACCCGCTGTGCTATCGCTCCGTCCCCAATTTTATTTTTTATCTTTCTTTTTTTTCTTTGGAGCCCACTCCCACCAATGTTCAGGGGTTACTCCTGGCTCTGCTCTTGGGAATTACTTTTGGCGGTGATCAGGGACCATATGGCATGCCAGGGATTGAACCCGGGCTGGCCGTGTGCAAGACAAACACTCCACCGCTTGTACTATCTCCCCAGCCCCAAGGCTTTGTAATTTTAACTGCAAACGCTTAAAAAATTTAGAGGCTGGAGTGATAGTACAGCAGGTAGGGTGCTTGCCTTGCACGCGGCCGACCTGGGTTCGATCCCCAGCATCCCGTATGGTCCACGGAGCACCGCCAGGAGTGATTCCTGAATAGAGCCAGGAGTCACCCTTGAGCATTTCCAAGTGTGGCCCCCAAACAAAACAAGACAAAAAAGAAGGAAAGAAAATGCTCTTTCCAAGAGCTGCCGTCAATGGCCGAAACAGAAATACACTTTGTGACTGGGACAAGCATGGCCTGTCCCTTCCCAGGTCCCAAGCAATGCCCTCGGGGGTGGTTTTATTATTATTATTTTTGCTTTTTGCTTTTTGGGCCATACCTGGTGATGCTTTTTGGACCAGACCCGGCGATGCTCAGGGTTACTCCTGGCTCTGCACTCAGGAATTACTCCTGGTGGTGCTCAGGGAACTGTCTGAGATGCCGGAATTGAACCCGGGTTGGCCGCATGCAAGGCAAGCGCCTTACCTGCTGTACTATAGCTCCGACCCCCCAGGGATTCTTTTCTGTCCCTCTTCGTTCTAAGGCTGAGCGGGGAAGGGAAGCTCTGCTTCCCTCAACTCAGCTCTCTCTGCACTGCTCATGGTCAGTACTTCAGGCCCCGTACCCAGAGCCCGGGCTCTCGCTTGGTGAAGACCAGCCGTGCCCACCGTGCAAAGTACCCACCGTGCCCACCGTACAAAGCAAAGTACCCCCCGCCCCTCCTGCACCTGGCCCGCCCGCCCCAGCCCTCCCGCCGCTCAGGGCCAGACAGGAAGGAAACCCCTCAGAGATGCTTCCTGGGACAGGGGGCATGGCTGTGGGCTGGGCTGGTTCTAGAAGGTCCTGTGGGAGGACGGTGTTTGCCGAAGCCTGGAGGACCTTCCCAAAGTCTCTGGGTGGCCTTACTGACAGCTCTCACTCAGAACGCCCCCCGGTGCCCCTCCCCGGCGAAGGCCCTAAGCAAACCCCACAAATAAGACTCTGGTTTTCACACCCATGGCCTCTTCAGGGCCCTGCCCTGCGGTCAGCAACTGGAGCTGTGTGGGTCCTGCCTGGCATTGGGGGGGGCGGGTGTTGGCACAGATGCCAATGCCACCATTCCCTGCCCCCTCCCCCCGGCCCCGCCACTGCGGGCAACTGTCACCCCTCTTGGCTGGCGGCCCTCCTGGAAGCGTTTGGAGCCAGGCTCCCCCAGAGGCACAGACAGGGCCCTATCCCTGCATCTCACACCCATGCCCGGCACGTTTGCCCCCAGTGCAGATCACGCTCCCCCACACCATGCGGCTCATGACCTCCGACGGCTCCGAGTTCATCGCCCAGCAGATGCACTTCCACTGGGGTGGCGCATCCTCTGAGATCAGCGGCTCTGAGCACACCGTGGACGGCAGGAGACACGTGGCTGAGGTACGTGGGCTGGGTCCCCAGGAATGCGCGTCCCCTCGACACCCCCCCACCCCGAGTCACTTTTCTGAGTGATGGGAGGGACGCAGTCAGGGTCCCTGAGGCTGATTAGGTTTTTTTCTCCCCGTCTTGATCCCTGAAAGCTGCGTGTCAGGGTTTCGGGGGCTTGGGGGGAGATCTGGGCCTTTGGGGTTTCAGCAAGGCTGCCGGGGGTACATGTGTCTTTAGGTTTAGCTGGATTTCTGTGTCAAGTTTTCTGGGGTCTTTTTCTTTTTTTCTTTTTTTAAAAGAGATTTTTTTTTTTTTTGGCTTTTTGGGTCACACTTGGCAATGCACAGGGATTGTTCCTGGCTCTGCACTCAGGAATTACTCCTGGTGGTGCTCAGGGAACCATATGGGATGCTGGGAATCGAACCCGGGTTGGCTGCATGCAAGGCAAATGCCCTTCCCGCTGTGCTATATGGCTCTGGTCCCTGGCGTCTTTTTCTTGCTTAACTCTCTCCAAAGGTTAAACTCAGGTTGAGGTACGGGGGGCCTGCCCACTCTCTGGGGACCCTAAAGAGCCCACAGTCCTCCTTTCATCCAGCTGGACCCTGACCGTTTATCTGTAGGAGGAAAAGTGGGGACTCTTGTCAAGTGCCCCCCAAACCCCACACACGCCCCTTCCACTCGGAGAAGTTTCTGGTCTTGGCAGATGGCTGAGTGCAGACAGGAAAAAGGAAAGGGGGGCGGGTGCCCATCTGGATCTCCCAGGAAGTGTCTTTCCTTCCTGAAGCTACACCATGAGCCCCCTGACCGCTCACTTCCCCCCACAGGTGCACGTGGTTCACTACAACGCAAAATACCAGAGCATGGAGGAGGCCCAGAGCGCTCCCGACGGCTTGGCGGTGCTGGCCGCGGTCTTCAAGGTAGGCCGAGCCTGGTGCTGGGTGCAAGGGGACCTACCTACAAGAGGGGCCTCTTGCTTCCCTGCTCACCTGTGTCTGAGCTCGCCATTCGCCTGAACCGGCCACGTGGGTGCTCTGGGGGGGCCCAGCGGCAGCTCAGCGGCTGGGACTTGGGGTGAAAATAGTGTGAGCCTGTATGCTCCTTGCACCCACTCGTGCCCTCCTAACTCGATCAGAAAGTATCTGGTCGGGTGGCCGTGGATCACTGGCAGCTCTGCGGCCTAGGAGGAAGGGGAGACTCGATTAGGGGCACGGTGAAAAGCCCAAGCTTAGAGGGACGGCTTTCCGCTTCTCCCCATTGAGAATGATGCTTGCTGTGGGTTTGTGGTACATGACTTTGACTATATTGAGGAAAGTTCCTTCAATGGACAGTAGGCACAAGGCCCGGGGAGATTGCTCCATAGTTGGGAGCCTGCCTCATGAGCTGGGGGAGAAGGCGGCTGGGATAGAGAAGGAATCAGTAAGTCCATGATGGTTGGAGGGATCTCTCGGGACGGGAGATTTGTGCTGAAAGTAGATAAAGGACCAAACCTCTCAGTATCTGTATTGCAAACCATAGCACTGTAGCACTGTCCTCCCTTTGTTCATCGATTTGCTCGAGCGGGCCCAGTAACGTCTCCATTCTTCTTACTGTGTTTGGCATATCGAATACGTCACGGGTAGCTTGCCAGGCTTTGCCGTGCACCGAGATACTCTCGGTAGCTTGCCGGGCTCTCCTAGAGGGGTGGAGAAATTGAACCTGACTCAGCCAGGCCAGCCACGTGCAAGGCAAATGCCCTACTCACTGTGCTATTGCTTCAGCCCCTGAACAGAGGCCTTTACGGCAGAGGCAGCTTTTCTGCTATGAAGTGGCAGCGTTCACGGGAACAGCGGCAAGATGCGGTCATGGGCAGGAGGGAGCCACTTTGCTCTGGATACATGTCCTGCCTTTGCAGAGCAGAGAACAATGAAGGGCGCCGGGGGCCAGTCACCCTCATGCCAGGGCCTTTGGCTGGCACACGGGGCCCTCACCAGCCCGCGGGGAATCTTTATGGCTCGTGAGGGTGCGTGAGTTACCCACGAGCTCCTTTCCCGGGAGCTGCCAGGGACTTCCGCTCTTGCTCTTCTGCACGAGGCCGGGAGGCTGGGTAGTTGGTGCCAAAGAGCAGCCGGATGGTCCCCCCTCCTGCGGCCCTTGTCGCGGTTCTTCCATTGCCATAGCACCAAGGCACAGGTTAGCAGCGGTTTCCTGGGAGGTTCATTCCTCACGGGGGCTGACTGCTGTTGTGCTTCTCCTCCAGATCAAGGAATACAGTGAAAACACTTACTACAGCAGCTTCATCTCTCACCTGCAGGAAATCAGGTACCCAGGTAAGGGCTGGGGCAGGCTGAGGAGGGAACATGCTCGAGCTGGAGGCGGGGGAGCTTCTGGGAAATGGATCCTACAGTCTGTCCTGTCACCGGAGGCTGATGCCTGCAGCCTCAGGAAAGTCTCCCAATGACAGCTCTTGGGCACAAGGACAGCTGAGACCCCGGGGCACCAGGACAGCTGAGTCCCCCAGGGCACAAGGACAGCTGAGACCCCAGGGCACGAGACAGCTGAGTCCCCCAGGGCACAAGGACAGCTGAGACCCCAGGGCACAAGGACAGCTGAGACCCCAGGGCACGAGACAGCTGAGTCCCCCAGGGCACAAGGACAGCTGAGTCCCCCAGGGCACAAGGACAGCTGAGACCCCAGGGCACAAGGACAGCTGAGACCCCGGGGCACCAAGACAGCTGAGACCCCAGGGCACAAGGACAGCTGAGACCCCAGGGCACGAGACAGCTGAGTCCCCAGGGCATGAGGACAGCTGAGTCCCTCGGGGCACCAGGACAGCTGAGTCCCCAGGGCATGAGGACAGCTGAGTCCCCCAGGGCGTGAGGACAGCTGAGTCCCCCAGGGCGTGAGGACAGCTGAGTCCCCCAGCTCATGCTCTCCAGGGAGCAGGACCGATGCTGGCCCTGGCTGGTGTTCTCAGTGTCCCAAATGCCTTCTCACTTTTTTTTTTTTTTTTTTTGCTTTTTGGGTCACACCCGGCAATGCTCAGGGGTTACTCCTGGCTCATGCACTCAGGAATCACTCCTGGCGGTGCTCGGGGGACCATATGGGATGCTGGGAATCGAACCTGTGTCGGCCATGTTGGCTGCGTGCAAGGCAAATGCCCTACCTGCTGTGCTATTGCTCCAGCCCCTGCCTTCTCACTCTTGACTTGAGAACTGTGTCAGCATTGGGCACCCCTCTTTGGCCACTCCAGTTGACAGTGCCCCCAATTCACCTCAAGGTCACTGGACCAGCTTCCTCCTCGGGGCTCACCTCTCCCCACCCCGCCCAGAACCCCCCACCATCCTCCTACCCGCTCGCCAGAGCCCCACACCCTGCACCCCGCCACCCCTCCACTCTCCCGGAGTCAAGCCCTGGCCCAGGAACCCAGCCCGGAGCCTGGAAGCACAGTCTCTGCACAGAACCCAGAGAAGGTCATAGCTGGGGACCGTCCCTCTGGGCTGCCCACTGCCCAAGCATGTGCTTCCACCACCGCTCTCTTTTCACCACTCAGAGCACCAAGTGTTCATAAGAAGAAGCAAAGCAGAGCTCAGCAGAGCTCCACGTGTTTGGCTGGTCAGCCTCTGCTCCATTGACAGGAGTTCACCAGGAACTCTCTAGACCCCTCTAGAATCTTCTGGCTAGACTCTGGCATGGTGGAGGTTTCTGTAACTGTGTGGAAGCCCCTTTGCCTGCACCTACCTCTGGCTGGGCCCAGGGTCAGCTCCTGCCGAGAGCTGATTCTGCCTTTCACAAGAGCCCAAACCACAGCATTTTATTTTTGCTCTTATTTTTTTCCTCTTGGCTACACCTGGCAGTGCTCAGGGCTTACTCCTGGCTCTGTGCTCAGGGGTCATTTCTGGCAGTCTCGGTGTGCCCCGGGATGGCACCCAGGTCAGCTGCACGCAAGGCAAGCGCCCTACCTGCCGTGCTATCTCTCCAGCCCCCGTTTTGTTCTTTTTTGAGGGCGCTTACCCAGAGCTTCTTGGGGTGCTGATGAATTCTTTCACACATAACAAGTCCCACAACAGAGACGTTACTGGGCCCACTCGAGCAAATCGATGAACAACGGGAGGACAGTGCTACAGTGCATCATTACATATTTGCTCTGTGATGGTGATGATGGCCCCAATGGCACAAGCCCAGCACGCGTGTCCTCCGGCTGGGCGGATGCCCCACTCGCTCCACAGTGCCCCTTGGCCCTCCCGGCAAGTCTCTGCTCTTCACCCACAAGGAGGCAGCCTTGCAGGGGCCAGAACCTCGTCATAGAGGGAGGCCGCCTCCCCCGAGACTCCAAAGCCCTTCCCAGGAAGCAGAAAACTGGGGGTGTTTTCCAATAGGCCACGTTTTGGTTATTCTGCTTAGACCAGGAGGTTCGGACACGGAGGGGCTCAGTTTATCCTGCTCCCCGCTCTTCACCTCTGTCTCCTCTGTCAGGACAAAGCACCGTTCTGAAGAACCTGGACATCGTCGACATGTTGCCCGAGAACCTTGAGAACTACTACACCTACCACGGCTCGCTCACCACACCCCCCTGCACCGAGAACGTCCTCTGGTTCATGCTGAAGGATGAAATCCTGATCTCCAAAGCTCAGGTAATCCAGAGCGCCACTTCATCAGACTCCCCTCGTGACGACCCGGTGAGCAAGAGAGCCCCCCCTAAACTCCCCGATGCCAGCCCTGGCTCCTGGGTTAGCCACGGGGCAGCACCGCTGTGCCACAGAAGGTGCCACTGACCACAGGTGCTGTGGCGGAGAAGGGCAAACTGAGCCAGCCCGGAATCCATCCTCATCCCATCGGTGACTTCACACAAGAAGAACCACGTCCTAACTGCCCCTTTATCTTTGAAACTGTAAACACTGTGATTTGCGAGGTTGTTCACAATACAATTGTTTCGGCTATTCAGTGCTCCAACCCCAACCCCACCCCCAGTGTGACCTTCCCTTCACCATTGTCCTCAAAGTTTTACGTGCTCCCAAGCCTACCCCCTTAGCAGACACAAAATAATTTACTTTGTATTATTTCTTACAACAAAATGGCAATTGAATTTTGATGCACAGGAGTTACTTCTGGCTCTGCACTCAGGAATGACTCTTGGCAGTGCTCGGGGGGACCATATGGGATGCTGGGAATTGAACCTGGATCGGCCGCGTGCAAGGCAAACACCCTACCTGCTGGGCTATTGCTCCAGCCCACAATTGGAATTTTTTTTTGTTTTTGTTTTTGGGTCACACCCAGCGATGCACAGGGGTTACTCCTGACGCTGCACTCAGGAATTACTCCTGTGGTGGTGCTCAGGGGACTATATGGGATGCTGGGAATCGAACCAGGGCCGGCCGCGTGCAAGGCAAATGCCCTACCTGTTGTGCTATCACTCCAGCCCCAAGTGAGATATACTTTTGTAAACTCCAAAACCCCCAAATAAATTAAAATAGATTCTTTTTATTTTTGGGCCACACCCAGTAGTGCTCAGGGGTTACTCTTGACTCTGTATTCAGGAATAATTCCTGGGGGCTCAGGGGCTATTTGGCATACCAGGGATCAAACCTTGATTGACTGTGTGCAAGGCAAGTGCCCTCCCTGCTATACTATTACTCCAACCCCCAAATATTTCTTTGGGTTTTTTTTTTTGTTTAACTTTTTTATTGAACCACTGTGGGACAGAGCATTACAAAGCCGTTCAGGATTGGCTTTCAGTCATGGAGTATTCCAACACCATCCCTCCACCAGTGTGCATTTCCTAGCACCAATGTCCCCAGGTTCCTTCCCATTATACCCCACCCCCGGCCTGACTCTATGAGATTTGTCAGTCTCTCTCTCTCTCTCTCTCTCTCTCTCTCTCTCTCTCTCTCTCTCTCCCCCCCCCCCCTTCCCACTCTCTTTCTCTCTCCCACCCCACAATATTGATACTGAAAGGTTCAAATATTTTTTGTTTTGTTTTTGGTCCATACCTGGTGATGCTTGGGGATTACTTCTGGCTCTGCTCTCAGAAATTACTCCTGGTGGTGCTCAGGGGATGCTGAGGATCAAACTTAGGTCGCTGCGTACAAGGCAAATGCCTGCCCTGCTGTACTATCACTCTGGTCCCCAATTGCTTTTTTTCTTAAACTTCTCATTTCCCGGGGCCAGAGAGCTAGTACAGCAGGCAGAGGGTTTGTCTTGCACGTGGCAGACCCAGATTGGATTTCTGCCACCGTCTTTGCAACAGCTGAACTCTGAGCCGGCCCTCTCTGTTTCCATCATCATTCACTCATGTTGCCTGCAGATGTTCTACGTTTATTTTCTGTTTTTTAAATTTTATTTGTTTTCACTTGCAGATTATGAAGTTAGAGAATACCTTGCTGGATCACAATAACAAGACCCTCCACAATGATTACCGCATGACCCAGCCCCTGTACGAGAGGGTCGTGGAGGCCAACTTCGAGTACTTCCCCTCCGATCCAGGTGGCATCCACTCTCCTTTACTTATTGGTTTACTTGCGTGTGTGTGTTTGGGTTTTTGTTTTTGGGCTACAGCCGGTGGTTCTTGGGGCTTCCTCCAGGCTCTGAGCTCCGGGACCACTCCTTGTGGGGCTCAGGGGACCCTCTGGGGTTCCAGGGGTCCATCCCCCTGTGTGCAAGCCAAGTGCCCCACCAGCTGTGCTCCTGCTCCGGCCCCCTCTTGCAGTTAGTCTTTTGCAAGTGTTTGACTCCTGTTCTTCTCTGAGCGGGTTCCTGGCCCCTGGAAGGGAAGGAGACTCATGGAAACTGTGTTTGTGTATGTGTGTGAGGTGAGGGGTGCAGAGTAGCTTGTCTAGCCAGAGCTATGGCAGAGGGGGTTGGGGGGACTGTGTGGAAGGAAGAGCAGAGGCTGGCCCTGGAGGAATTCACAACCTACCCAGCCAGGGCCAGGCCCCGCGGGAAACAAGTCATAACTTCCAGATGCTCTTGGAAGACTAGAAGCTCCAGGTCCACCTTAGCCAACTCAACTCAGATTATTTCCTACCACAAACTGCCCCCAGCCCCCCAATGCCATGTCTGAAGGGGGCATTGACCAGAGACCCCCTCCTCTTCTCCTTCTCCGTTCCAGAGCTACGGATCCAGGCATTCTTTAAAAAGGTGACGCTTTTAATCCAAGAATCACTTGGAGAGGGAAATGCCAAGACAGAGAAGTCGAAAAAGGCCAAGAAGCACAAGCATCACTGAGCCAGCCGCGGGGTCCCCCGCAGCCCCCCCCCACCATGCCCGTCAGGCTGGTTGATCTGTCTGACTGTCCTTCCGAATGAGGCGATAATAAAATCACTTTGGGAATTTGTCATTTAAAATCATGTTTCTGTTCTGTCCCTCAGTTTCCCCTCCAATCTCTGTCCCAAGGAACGCAGGTGGACAGATGGGGCTGGAAGACAGGTCAGGAGCGAGGGGAGTGTGACCCCCCCCAGAAATGGGAGGGGGAGGGAGGAGGAGAGTCCTGGAGCATGGAGGGGCCCCCAAGGGGTCTATGGACACAGACCCTCAGACCAGCTCCCACAAGATCCTGCTGGCCTCTGCAGGATGACACAGTGGAGACCTTAGTTCCACCAGAACCGCCTGAGAGGTCTTGGAGCTTCAGGGGGGGTGGCAGGGTGCCCCACCCAGAAGTGGCAGGACCCCACACATGCTGTCTCCCAGGGCGACCCCCACCCTGATGCACCACCACCTGCAGACAGACCAGCAGAACAAGCCCTCCAGTGAGCCCTGGTGAGCCCTGGGTTCACAGGGAACACGCAGAAAGGAACCGTCTCCAGGCTCCTTTTTAAATTATTTTTATTTATTTTTTTGCCTTTTGGGTCACACCCGGCAATGCTCAGGGGTTCCTCCTGGTTCTGTACTCAGAAATTACTCCTGGCAGTGCTCAGGGGAGCATATGGGATGCCAGGAATCGAACCCAGGTCAGTCGTGAGCAAGGCAAACGCCCCACCCGCTGTGCTATGGCCCCAGCCCCTCCAGGTTGCACTTCCCAGTTGGTCAGATCTGTGCTGCGGGCAGGCGCGCTCCTGCATCTGCTGCTGCAGTGACGGGAGGTGAATGCAGGGAAGAATCTACTCATGTTCTCAGCCCCAGGCAGGCAGGAGGGCGAGAGGCTGGCTGTGAGTGGCTGTCAGGTGCTGGGCAGGAAGGTGGGTGGGGGAACCAGGGAGTGGACTTGACTTTGGAGCCTTGGGTTTCATATCATTATCAAACAAATTAAATTTGGGCCGGACCCAGACTACAGCAGGTAGGGCGCTTGCGTTGCCTGTAGCCGACCTGGGTTCAATCCGCAGCATCCCCCTAGGGTCCCCTGAGAACTATAGTTCCTGAGTGCAGAGCCAGGAGCAATCCCCGAGTAATGCCGGGCATGACTCCCCAAACAAAAACAAAACGTAAAATGAGGTTCAAAAAATTTAATTTTGGGCCGGAGTGATAGTACAGTGGGTCGGGTCTTTGCCTTGTATGCGGCTGACCCGAATTCGATCTCTGGCATCCCATAGGGTCCCCTGAGCACAGAGCCAGGAGTAACCCCTGAGCATCACTGGGTGTGACCCAAAATGCAAAAATAAATAAATAAAAATTTAATTTTAATCCCTAAAGCGTAAACACAGGGACTAGGGGAGAGCGGAGAACAGGAAGGTGTGGGCCTTGCTTAGGGCCTTGCTTCCATGCCGGCACTACAGATGGTTTCCCGAGCCTGCCAGGAGTGAGGCCTGAGCACAGAGCCAGGAGCCAACCCTGAAAACCACCAGGTGTGCCCCACCCGCCGCCAGGTGGAAACAGAAGGAACCAGAACCTTGAGTAGGAGGCTCTTAACACCCTGAAAAGACTCTTCCAGGCTTCCTTCCCTTCCCCTTGCCGTGGGGGCGTGAAGGTGCAGCCTTGCTCCGGCTCACCTGTGGGGCGGTGTCGGGGCTGGAACTTCTGGCAAAGCAGGTGTTCTACCGCTGGGCCATGTCCCTGCGCTCCCCAGAGACCTTAGAGACAGCATTTTTAATGTCTCTCCGGAAGGACATGGAGGATGTGGAGAATTGCAAACATCCAGCAGTACTGGGGAATCTCACTGGTAACAATATTGCTATTGTTTTGACACAGTGCCTGCGATTAGGCTTTTGCTATTAGCAATAAGTAAACAGTGTGTTTCACAAGATGTTCAGTATAGAAAAACAAAGATCTAAAACCCACAAAGAGCTTAAGTCAAAGCTCTACATCATGCATTTAAATTTGATAAGTCAGTATGAACTTAGATATTTGTTTTCCCTTGGAAGGAGGAGAGAGGGAGGGAGAAGGGGAAAGAAGAGAACGAGAGAGGACAGAGGGACACAGGGAGGGAGAGAGGGAGAGGAGGAAGGAGAAAGGAGAAAGAGAAGGGGGGGAGAAAAGTGATGGAAACTGGGCATGTTGGTGACATTGGTGGTGGGAAATGTACACCGGTGAAGGAACAGGTGTTGGAACATATATGACTGAAACCCAATCATGAACAACTCTGTAACTTTGTATCTCACTGTGATTCCATTAGAAAAATAAAAACTAAAAGGTCACTAATCTCCACAAAAAAAGAAGAAAGGCTTAACCCCAGGGAATGATCGCTGGCTCAATACTACTTCCCTCTCTCAGGAACCAGTGCAGGGAAATGAACACACAGGCTGGGGCCAGAGTGATAGGACAGCAGGGAGGGCATTTGCCTTGCACACGACTGACCCGAGTTCGATCCCCAACATCCCATATGGTCCCCTGAGCACCGCAAGGAATAATTCCTGGGCAGGAATTACTGGCAGAGCCAGGAGTAACCTCTGAGCATCACTGGATGTGACCCATAAAAAGCAAACATACAAATAAAAACACAGGATAAGTTGCTGGAGCGATAGCACAGCGGCTAGGGCGTTTGCCTTGCATGCGGCCGACCCGGGTTCGATTCCCAGAATCCCATATGGTCCCCTGAGCACCGCCAGGAGTAATTTCTGAGTGCAGAGCCAGGAGTAACCCCTGTGCAATGCCGGGTGTGACCGAAAAAGAAAAAAAAAAACACAGGATAAGCAGGAGCTGGCTCTTCAGACCAGAGATCAGGAAAGCAGAGATAAGCGGAGTATCCCAGACACACAGACCATCCTGAAGAGGGTCCTGAAACAACTTAAGGACCAAAAGAAAAATCTCACAAAAGGAATGACAATGGCAAATGATTAAGATCTACCAAATATATAAAAATATATGGGTTTATCATGGTACTAAAAAGAAAAAGAGGGGCTGGAGCGATAGCACAGCAGGTAGGGTGTTTGCCTTGCATGCGGCCAACCCGGGTTGAATCCCCGGCATCCCATATGGTCCCCCAAGACCCAGGAGTAATTCCTGAGTGCAGAGCCAGGAGTGACCCCTGAGCATCCCTGGGTGTGACCCAAAAAGGCAAAAAGAAAGAAAGAAAGAAAGAAAGAAAGAAAGAAAGAAAGAAAGAAAGAAAGAAAGAGAGCCTGAAGGAGAGTACAGTGGACAGGCCACTTGCTGGCACCGGCTAATCTGGTTTGATTCCCAGAACCCCATATGGTTCCCCAAGCCCCTCCGGGAGTGACTTCTGAGCACGGAGTCAGGAGCAAGCCCTGAGCACTGCTGGGTGTGGTCCAAGAAAAAAAGAAAGAAAACTCATTGGTCGCTTTATTTTTATTTATTTTCCAAGCCTCACGCATGAAGGAACCGGCCGAGGAACCCAGGTGTGTGGGACCCAGGGCTTAGATCTCCAAGCCTGCTCGGATTGGGACTGGGGTCTCCTCCACCCAGATCCAGATGCCCCATCTTCCAATATGTAGGCATTACACCCACTAACGGCCCCCAGTGCTGTGTAATCCCATCAATGGCCAAGACCCAGAGACTATAAAACCCTGCTCCCGGAAGTGCACGGCTGCATTTTCAGCTGTGCGACGTCTTACCATCTAGTTCTTACTGTGGAGAACCTGGCAGGCTACCAAAAGTATCCTGCCCACACGGAAGAGTCTGGCAAACTCCCCGTGGCGTAATTCAATATGCCAAAACCCAGTAACAATTACGGGTCTCATTCTCCTGACCCTGAAAGAGCCTCGAATGTGGCACTTTTAAAAAATCTCAGGACTAGGACGAAGGTGACGTTACTGGGGCCTGCTCGAGGCAATCGAACAACAGGAAGACAGTGATACAGTGATTTATTTGGGTCACACCCAGTGATGCTCAGGGGTTACTCCTGGCTCTGCACTCAGGAATTATCCTGGCAGCACTCAGGGGACCATATGGGATGATGTGGGATCGAACCTGGGTCGGCAGAGTGCAAGGCAAATGCCCTCCCCACTGTACTATCACTCCAGCCCACTCATTGGTCACTTCAGACACTGCTGGGAGGCCAAATCTTATTCCGTGATTGGCAAATTGGGGAGAAATATTGGTTCTGCTTTTACTATCCACACTATAATTCAGAGTCACTCCCTAGTTGCCTGTGGCTCGTGTGTCAAATAGCCACAAACTGAGTGGCTTAAAAATCCAGAAATAGGGGCTGGAGTGATAGCACAGCGGGTAGGGCGCCTGCCTTGCACACGGCCGACTCGAGTAGATTCTCAGAATCCCATATGGTCCCCTGAGCACTGCCAGGAGTGACTCCTGAGTGCAAAGCCAGGAGTAACCCTTGAACATCGCCAGGTGTGACCCAGAAAGAAAAAAAATTCAGAAGTAGGCTGCAGAGAGAGTTTGGCAGGCTGAACATGTGCTTTGCATACAGGGACCCAAGTTTGATCCCCAGCACTGCTGGGTCCTCGGCTACTATCCCCGAACGCAGAGCCAGGAGAGGTCCCTGAGCACTGACAGGCGTGGTCCCAGAGTACAGCAAAACCAAACAAACTGGGCAGGGGAGCTAGTACATGTGTTGTGGGCACATACTTCGCCTGCCTGGGGCCTGCGCGGCCTCGTGATCATCACTGGATGTAGCAGAGACCCCGAGTACTGCCCATTGTGGTTCTAGAGGGCCCTGAGCACCCGTGGGCCCGGCGCGAGCCTGGTGGTCCCTGGTCATGGGTCTTGAACAGCTCTGCCACCTCAGGCCACTGTACTGAGCTGTTTGGCCTGGTGGGCCGAGAAGTGCCAGGAATGGCCCCAGTGGCCCCGAACACTGTTTGGCAGTACCCCAACAAAAAACAAAAACAAAAAAAACTAAATAGGAACAATTTTTTACTGTTTGGAAGCCAGAG